GTTATCTGTTACGGTGTTGCTTTTGGCATTCAGGAGCCGATCTGTTACGGCATTGTTTTGTGTTACTTCAGGAGCCGATCTGTTACGGTGTTGTTTGTGCAACTTCAGGAGCCGATCTGTTACGGCATGGTTTTCTGTACTTCAGGAGCCGATCTGTTACGGTGTTGTTTGTGTTGCTTCAGGAGCCGATCTGTTACGGCATGGTTTTGTGTACTTCAGGAAGTAGCTGTCCTTCCTCAGATCTAGGCGGCCCCAAATTGACAATCTTTGACAATCGAGAGGGCCACAAATTGACAATCGTTGACAATCTACAAGCCCCAGATTGACCAGCTTTGACAATATAGGGGCCCCAAATTTGCTTTCCTTGACAATCTGCGGGGCCCCAATTGCACAGCCAAGGCAGGCAGATTGGGCAGAAGCCCATCTACGAGGGAAGAGCCTTTGCAGATGCAAGAGATTCTTTCAACCTCACCGATGGTAGGATCTTGATATCATGCTTCGCTTGGAATATAAAGCGACTCCTCCCAAATGTGCATCATGTCACCGCCAAGGTTTCAGCTCTGGTCGCACCTCGGTTGCAGCTGAGGATTTGCATTTTTGCTTTCTCTTTGCATTCAGTGATTCACTACTACCGCCGAAATACAACTGACATTGCGGAACGAAGGGAAGAAGACAGCCTGCTCGTCGACGGGTTCGCAAGCCATCCGGAACAAGTATGGGATGGCATCGGATCTTGGCTGGCTTAAGCTGGACGGCCTGCACAATAAGACTACTGCCTTGTTCGAGACAGCCGCGGCCTATGTAAATAGCTGGCAGTGACACGGACAGGGCAGCAAGGGAGTGAGCGGGAAAAAAACGACCAGCACCAACTGTAAGCCAACATTGCTGTCATCGTGCTTTGTCGGTCGGTGAAAGCACACTAGCACTAGCGTGGCACCGCAGCCCAATTCGTGCTCAAGAGCATCAACAGAAAAACGTCCCACACCCTGACGCGACTATCCAGGCAGGAAGCCGCTTCCGACAGTAAGAGGGAAGCAACCGTAGAGACAGCCTCTGCGCCGGCCCTGCAGGTGAAATGGAAATGTACCCGAACAACCACCGGCGATGGGCTGACGTGAGGGACGAGGACGAGGGAGATAGAGAAAGTGACAGATAGAAAGAGAGAGAGAGAGAGAGAGCAGAAAAAAGGAAGAGAGGAAGAGAGACAGATGGCCACCTCTTGCCGCACGCAGGGGACCGGATCATGCTTCGACTTCGAGGCGTTCAAGAG